AGAAACCCACGCCCCTGGCAAGGCCAGGGGAGGCCGATGTTAACGAGGCCTTGCCTTACTCACAAAACCTTCAACTCGTAGTCAGAACAGTCCAGGTCAGCCGGAAAACACAGATAAGTCCAAATCGAATCACCAAAGAATAGTTGAACAGTCCAAGTCGAGAAAAACCGAAAGAATTCAAACCGAAAGAGATAAAAAGGAGAATTTAACCAGAGAGCAGTCCCACACACCAGCCAGCGCTGAAGGACTGAGCCAAAAGCTGGCCTGCCCGGCAACAGAGGCGGGATTAAGAATAATTGGCAGGCTCAGTCCTTCAAGCTGATTGGATGGGCACTACCCACGCTGGCTGCTGTCTCCACTCTCAATGGAGAAATGCTAGAGAATTCCTGGCGGCTTGGCATTTAGGCAAATTAGTCATCAATAGACTCATGAAGATAAGCAGTGGTGGGATTCAGCCAGTTCGGGCCGGTTCAGGCAAACCGGTTCTTAAATTACTGGCTGGCCCCGCCCCTCCCCTCCCCTTCCAGGAGTCCCCACATGCCCCATTTTGGCTCCCAGGTAAGTGCAGGGAAGCCTACTAGGCCAAAAATGGGGCATGGGGGGGGGTGGCACGGCCCCACATGATCCGTTTTTGCTCCCACGGGGTGCAGGAGGCCGAGTGCTGCCTGTTATACCCCGGCCATACCCACCATGGCCACACTCACCCAGCTGGTCATTAGGGCAGAGAACTAGTTGTTAAATTATTTGAATCCTACCACTGGAGATAATATACTATATACTATTTTAAAAAGCTACGGAAACAAAAAGACCAAATATATCCTCTCGAGCAGACATTAATACCAGACAATCATGAAGAAAATGATACCCTAATCAAGGAACTACCAAGGAGAAAACTACATCCCACCAACATTGGCAGAGCAAGCTAATGCCAAGCTAATGATAATGGAAAAAAACAGCAACAGAGGAAGGTAGAAGGAGTACCATCTTCTCTATCTTATGTTGTTGTTTTTTCTTACAGCTGTGTGCAAGTAACTGATAGTTTGGCTTGTGTTAATGAAAGTTAAGTTCCTTTACAGACATGGGACAAAAATGATTGGGTTTAAAGCTCTCACAGACTTGTGAAAGAATTGTTTGTTTGTTTGTTTGTTTATTATTTATTTATTTATTTGTTTGTTTGTTTGTTTGTTTGTTTATTTATTTATTTATTTATTTATTTATTTATTTATTTATTTATTTATTTATTTGTTCAATTTATATGCCGCCCTTCTCCAGAGACTTAGGGCGGCTTACAATGCGTTAAGCAATAGCCTTCATACTTTTGTATATACCTGCTTAGTAGGGCTTTCGGGCCCCCCCAAGCAGTGTTCTTTTTTTATACAAAGTCAGCTTATTGCCCCCACAATCCGGGTCCTCATTTTACCTACCTCTAAAGGATGGAAGGCTGAGTCAACCTTGAGCCTGGTGAGATTTGAACTTGCAGTAATTGCAGGCAGCTGGTGCTGCTTAACAGCACTTTAGTCTGCTGCGCCACCAAGGCTCTTATATTTGGACAATTACTGTTGATTATAAACGGATGCATATAAATTAAATTTTCAGCTTTCTTCTGCTGTTTTCCAGGTTACTTAGTAGGAAGCAAACAGAGAGGACACGAATATTATAAACCCCTCACACTAGCAAGAATGTTCAAATGAAAAAGCAGCCTTTTTCTGGCAGGGCAACCTAAAGATATAATGAATAATTAAGGAACAATCTGGAATTTCTGTAGCTTGCACAGAAGTTATGCTCCTGTACATTTTATGAAGAAGACATTATTATGCAATCACAGGGTGGTCCAGCCTAGAATGAAACTATCTGATGCAACTCCTGTTGTTCTGGCAAACAGCTTGTTTGATTCATAAGTGCATGTGTTCCAAACATTCATTTATTATTTTAGGTATAAAATAATAGGTATTAGCATTATAATGTAGAGTCTCTGCCTTAGAAGGCTTTTATATGTGGACTAGGATACTTAATTACTACCCAGTGTGTAGTACTTTGAAAATACCATTAGACATGTAGTTTTTCAAGAACCGCAGTGGCGCATTAGTTAGACTACAGTACAGTACTGAATTTCCTTCTGGTGCCTGCCGGCTGCCTGCAGTTTGGCTGTTCGAATCTCATCAGGCTCAAGCTTGACTCAGCTTCCATTCTTCCGAGGTGGGTAAAATGAGGACCCAGATTGTTGAGGGCAATATGCTGATAGCCACTGAGACAGTAAAGCACTGTGAAGTGGTATATAAGTGTAACTGCTATTGTTATTTTCACAAGGCTTTATATACAAGGGCATAAAGGTGCCTGAGTGGCGCAGCAGACTAATGCTACTGTTAAAAGGTAGTATTTAGCTTCTAGCTGCCTGCAATTACTGCGAGTTCAATTCTCACCAGGCTCAAGGTTGACTCACCTTTCCATCCTTTCTAAGGTAGGTAAAATGAGGACCCGGCAATAAGCTGACTTTGTATAAAATATACAAAAGTATGAAGGCTATTGCTTAACGCATTGTAAGCCGCCCTGAGTCTCCAGAGAAGGGCGGCATATAATTTTTTTTTAAAAAGGGTCTATGTACACTTGTATGTGCATTTATAGATAGCGACTTGGACTACTATAGCATCTTGTCCCTGAAAGTCTGTAGAGATTCTCAGTCATCCAAGTCATGGTTGCCCCAAAGGTGCTTTTTTCAGGAGGCAACTGGACTTTCTTGTTTTTTCTTTTGAAGACATTTTGCTTCTCATCCAAGAAGCTTCTTCAGCTCTGACAGGATACTGGAGAATGGAAGGATTTATATTCCTTGCAGACAGCTGGTAATTTGCATCCTTTTAGAGGTCATTGAAGCACTTGGAGGTTTATCTGTGTCCTCAATCTGTGTCCTTTGCCAAAAGCAAATTGTATAGATTGAGTGACTGAGAATCTCTACAGACTTTTCGCTATACAATTTGGAATGAATACCCTTTGAACGGTGTGGGAGTAGGAATGGATTTCCAGAGGAAAAATTGCAGACTACAGGAACCAGGAGCACTACTCAGGTGACCCTGAGGACACAGTTAAACCTCCAAGTGCTTCAACAACTCTCGAGATGCAAGGAATAGAAATCCTTCCATTCCCCACTATCCTGTCAGAACTGAAGAAGCTTCTTGGATGAAAAGCGAAACGTCTTCAAAAGAAAAGCAAGAAAGTCCAGTTGCTTCATAAAAAAAAGCACCTTTGGGACATCCTGTCCCTGACTCATCTAATTTAAGATGGACAGATACAGATGGATGTGAAACACCCTCATCCCTATGTCTATTGGTGTCATCACCCCTGTTTCTTCTGTCATGCTCTTCAGCCACATATGTCTAAGAGCTGCTGGATGGTTCAGAATGAGAAAAACTGCTGCCAACCAACTGCCCAATAGGCAAAATAATGTTTGCCCCAATTGACGTTGATAGACTACAATTCAGAATAAATTTTAAATACACTTTCTGCCCAGATTCCTTCTTTGGATGCATTGACTTAAAATTCTGATTGAAAATTCAACTCATATTTTGAAACGAAACCAAAATCAGCAAGCTATGCCTGATGCTACTGAGATAAAGTAGGCAAAGGAGAAGCTATCCCTTCCCTAGAGCCTGATAAAAATATAAAAATCTTTTCAGACAGTAAAAAAAAAGTATCAATGACATGTACTAGTTCTCTTAAATTACCCTCCTCTCTAAAATCTCTGCCTCAAGATACTTTTGATTCAATGGTACACTGAAATACACCTTAGCTGGGATCTGTCAAATAGTCTTTAGCTAACAGGTCTGGCAAACCAAATGAAACTGCAGTCCAGGAATGAAGGCTAAAAGCATTTTTATTGAGATAGTCTGTAAGAGATACTTGCACGTCTGATTGCGCTGTACCTCTTCTGTTTATAGCTCAGTGGATCAGGGAGGCATCTGCCTGAACTGCATCTAAACAGTACCTCATTCTGGACTTTTAAAAAATGCATCTTTTGCCAAGGCAAAATGTGGTGGTGGTGGGTTTCAAATTTTTTTAGTACCAGTTCTGTGGGCGTGGCTTGGTGGGCGTAGCAGGGGAAGGATACTGCAAAATCCCCATTTCCTCCCAATCGACTGGGATTTGGGAGGCACAGAATAGATGGGGATGGGGCCAGTCAGAGGTGGTATTTACCAGTTCTCCAAACTACTCAAAATTTCTACTACGGTTCTTCAGAACTGGTCAGAACCTGCTAAAACCCACCTCTGGGTTCCTGCATATCTCTGTCAGGGCCATCATCCTTCCTCTCTAAATATGTGGATCCAGTGGGAAGCTGCTATTTTCTACAGATGCAGAGCATAAGACTGAATGGAGAAATTTTTCTCCACAAGAAAGGAATAAACATTAAGTCCTGCCTTCTAAGTACTGTAGAGGAAGCGAGGTAATGTCTTTGTGGCAGTAGAGACTGAGAGCAGTCTGATTCAGAAGAGAACTTTAGATTTTGACAGGGACTTTATGTCTTTATTTCCTGCCCTTTAAAGCCTCTACATCTAAAACAATGAAGTAAATTTTAAAAAAACACACACATAAAATTTGGTTCCACTGACTCTACAGATTGTAAAATAGCAGCCACACTACTCGATACACAGAAGGTCTACTACTCGATCACAGAAGGTCTACTAAGAATGATTGAAGATAACCTTTTAGAGCAATTTCTGTAGAATAGTTGATTCTGTGTTTAAATGTGGGAAATAAATCCTTATTCTATTGGATTCCAATTTCTTTAGAGAGCTGTAACTTACTTCTACGCTTCCAAAGAAAATGTGTTTCAATTATATTGAACAAAAGCAATTTGAAAAGAGGGAAAAGATTTTATCCATTTTAACAAATAATATACAATATTGCAGTGATGCCCAAAAATCCATGAGACTTGAGATGAAGAGGCTTCTCTTCCATCGAGACAGGAGTGAGGAAAAATAGAAACAAAGAGGAGGAAAAGAATTCCTTACAGGCTCTCGCAGAACTTCCTAAGAATGCTTGGTTTTTCCTGGTTGCGTCTCTGTCGAAACCAGCGCTGAATACTGCGCACATCCCAGTCTAGCTGCTTGGATAGCCCTTCCAGCCTCTTCTCGTCTGGATGCTTTCAAAATAATAATAATAAAAAGAGTCAAAAAGTTACTCTTCTGAGGAGACTTCACAAAATTCCAATTGGTACTTTTCCCCAAAACTAAGCAGTAAGTTATGCATGCGGGGGGGAGGGACGGGACGGGAGACGGGACACCCTTTGAAATGCCGGCTTGCTATCCAGACTATAAAACAATTTATGTAAGTTAAATAATTGCTAGATTCCTGTTCAGTTTTTATTGCTGTGTAGTTCATGTCATTATCATCTGCTGCATATGACCTGGACACAAGTAATTAAAGAATCTTAGATTTCTGCATTTTGCATAAAAAATGCCATCGTGCCAATGACAGAAATTACCACCATAACACATACTTTGATTCCATGGACAATTTTCTGTCGTTACCCTACTTTAATTTAAAATATACACTGTGAAGTTGCTTGGGTGGTCCTTAAATGTTAATAAAATAATAAAATAATAGAGTATTCGCTATTGGGAATAGCGAATACTCTGTTAAATCATGCTTTCAATTATATGCTAATTTTGATGTCTTATTTGCTCCACTTATTATGAATACAGCTCAACACTTTTTTGCCTTGCTTTTTGTGACGTTGTTTTTAAATTCACTCATTTTCCACTGGGCCTATTGGCTAGAAATTCGGGGACCTGTAAACCAAATTCTCTGGATCGCTCCATGATGGGAATGGCTACCCACACTTGTTTATTTTTGCTTCACTTTTAAATTTTTTTTATCTTTACAGTTTCAGGATACCCATCTCACAAAATGATCACAAAATACCAACTTATTTTTTCATGGAAGATTCACAATTCTACGAATTCCTTTTCTGGAGAATAAAAACACGTTAATAATAAAGGTAGACTTCGCTTATCGACCTCTCATTTAGTGACCATCCTATTTACAATGATGCTGTAAATAGAGATTTACAACTGGTCCTTAAAATTTTGGATGTTGCAGCATCCCAGCACATGATGAGCACATGATGAGCTGAGATTTCCCCTCCCCCCCATCCCAGACCGGTAATGTCCAGTCTGACAAAGGATTTCCCCTTCTCTCCACCCATAGGAGGCAAATCCTTCGTTGGGCTGCAGGATTTTAACTCCATTCCTGGAGCCCAATAAAAGCTTTCCCCAAGTGGATGCAGAAGGGAAATCCTTTGTTTCCTGGGAGTGCTGGGACTGTGGTAATTGAGTGAAGGTGGTCACGTGGCGTCTTGCTTAACAACCACTTTGCTCAACGACTGAGATTTTGGTCCCAATTGTGATCGTAAATTAAGGACTACCTGTAAAGCTTTTTTCCAGTCAACTCAGTCCAAACGCTTTTTCCCTCTTTTCTTACTCCTGTCAAACATGTCTTGCCTAATTAGTAAGCACACCCTTCACACTAGAGCCACAAATATATCCAATCTCTCAGATCCCATCTTATGTAATAGCAGCACTTGGATCATTTGTGGGGAAAATGAACGTTGGACTTACCTTGAACATTCTTTCTATGTGTGCTGCAGGAGAGTCCAAGCACGGGTTAATTTAGTCTGACTTGTCATCACTGAGTTGGAATTTCTTTGACCACGCCTTCCTCTTCCAGCTGAGCCTCAGTTTTTCCAACGAAACTGGAAACAGAGAAGACGCAGTCCTAATCGGAAAAATAACCACTCCTGGACCCCAGACCAGCACAAGCCAGGGTGAGATTGGACTCTCCTGCAGCGCACATAGAAAGAACGTTCAAGGTAAGTCCAATGTTCATTCTCCTGTGCGCTGCTTGGAGAGTCCAAGCATGGGATATACCCAAGCTAAATTGATGTTGGGAGGGATACAGATTGGTCCAGGGTCCCCTCGGCCGGCAGGCCTCTCTGTAAGACACGCCGCCCAAACGCTGCTTCTGCAGATGCGTACTGATCCAGCTTGTAATTCCTCACGAACGGAGAAGGGGAAACCCAAATGGCGGCCCTGCAAATTTTCAAAATTGATACCTACGTAGCCCAGGCCACCATGGTGGCCATGCTTCGAGTAGAGTGCACTGTTATGCAACGGGGCACAGGACGAGTTTGTTGTTCATAAGCTAAGGCAATACACGCCTTGAGCCAACATCCAATGGTAGATGGTGATACCTTTTTTCCCATCGAAGTGGGCTGGAATGACACGAATAAGGCCTCCGTCCGCCTAAAAGGTGCTGTCCACTTAATGTACCTTTTCAAAGCTGGTGAACATCCAATGTATGCCAGCGCTTTTCTCTTGGATGTTGTGGATTGGGACAAAAGTCCAGTAGAATAACTTCCTGTGCCCTGTGGAACCAGGAATTTATTTTTGGCACAAAGGTAGGGTCCAAATGGAGAATGACACGGTCCGGGTGAAAAATACATAAGTCCTGGCACACTGAACGCGCCGCCAACTCTGATATCCAGAAGTAATCACCACTAAGAAAGCAACTTTAAAGGTAAATAGTCTAAGTGTAGTAGTCCGCAAGGGCTCGAAAGGAGGTAAGGTGAACTATGGGTACCTATGAACTGTTGGCGGTAACAAGTTGGCAGCTCCTTTTAAAAAACTGCGGACCTTTGGATGATGGGAGAGCAGTACAGGCCCCTCACCTGGTAAAATGGTCACCAGAGCTGCAAACTGTCGGCGAAGTGTATTCGTGGACAGTCTCTTTTTCAGGCCCCATTGTAGGAAATCCAGGACCTGAGAGATGGTCGCATCTCTTGACCCTAGTGCACCAGCGACAAAACGATGCCCAGGTGGCATTGTAGATCCTGACTGTCGACGCTTTTCTAGATGCCAGAATGGTAGAGATCACATCAGGGGAATAACGCTCCTTCCGGAGAGTCTCCCACTCAAGTGCCAAATGGCCAACTTGAGCCACTGAGGGTCTGGATGTTGAAGGGACCCCTGACTGAGGGTGACCTCGTGCGGTGGTAATATCCAGGGGCGAGATATTGATAGTGACATCAGGTCGGCGAACCATGGATGCCTCAGCCAATACGGAGCTACTAACAACACTTCCGCCTCCTCCTCCAAGATTTTCCTGATCACCTTCTGGAGTAAGGGGATGGGAGGAAAGGCGTACAGTAGTTAGGTCGGCCATGGGCAACGCAGGGCGTTGATCCCTTCGGCCGCCGGAGTCCAAAACCTGGTGAAAAACCGAGGCAGGTGAGTGTTTTGGGGAGTGGCGAACAAGTCCAGAGTCGGGGTCCCGAAACGAACCATGATGAGATAGAAGATATCTGGGTGAAGACGCCATTTGGACTGGTCTATTGTCGTTCGGCTCAACCAATCCGCTGTTGAGTTGGACGTCCCGGCAATGTGTTCCGCCCGCAAGGATAGTAGGTGCCTCTCTGCCCAGAGACACAACTTCCTCGCCTCGCACATGAGCATCTTGGAGTGAGTGCCCCCTTGATGGTTGAGATGCGCCTTGGCCGTGACATTGTCCATTAACAGAAGAACGTGCTTGGTCTGAAAATGTCGGTGCGCCAGATGGGTCACCCTCAGCTCCAGCCAATTGATATTGTTGCGTAGATCTTGTTGAGACCATCGCCCTTGTGTTACATTGGCTTTCAGGTGCGCCTCCCAGCCGAAGAGACTGGCATCTGATGTTAGGACCAGTCTGGGAGGATTCCAGAACAGGCAACCCTTCTCCATGGCCTTCAACTTCCACCAATCCAAGGAGTGAAACACCTGTGGAGGAACTCTGATCCTGCACAATGAGTTCCTGCGCCCTGACCTCTGACTGGAGAGAAGGAGTCACTGAAAGGCTCTGATATGCAAACAAGCCCAGGGAACTATTGCTAAGCAAGAAATCATTTCCCCTAATGGTTGGGAAAGAAGCAGTAGGAGTACTGAGTCTCACACCTGAATCTGCATTACCATCTCTCTTATACTGTCCCTTCGCTCTTGTGACAGGAACACCTGGGACAACTGAGTATCGATCACCACCCCCAAATGGACAAGCCTGGTGGATGGGATCAGATGGCTTTTCTCCCAGTTTACTGAGAAGCCGTGATCCTGAAGAGTCTGGAGCATGAGTTGCAGATCCAGCTCTGCCTGCCTGAAAGACGATGACTAGATCAGAACATCATCTAGATAACATTGTAGGTGGATGGGATGAGCCCTCAGACGTGCCGCTACCATGTCCAGTAATTTGGTGAAGGTGCGTGGTGCTGAGGAAAGGCCAAAGGGAAGGGCCCGGTATTGCCAGTGGCGGCCTGCGAAAGCAAACCTGAGAAACCTCCTGTGGGATATCCTTATGGGCACATGGAGCTGAGCCTCCTTGAGATCTATCGATGTCAAAAGATCTGCTTGCCTGAGGCCATCCAGGATTAATGAAGGGATTGCATTTTGAACCTCTTATATTTTATGTGAACATTGAGGTCCTTTAAATTCAATATTGCCCTTTGGCCGCCCGAGCTCTTGGGAACTAGAAAGAGTACGGAGTAAAACCCTAAACCTCTTTGCCCAATTGGTACCGGTTCTATGGCCTTGATGTCCAGCAAGTGCTGAATTTCGGCTTCCATCATGGCCTTCTTGGTGGCCTCCCTGGGCACAGGACATTGAATGAAGCAACGAGAAGGTCTGGAACAAAATTATAATGTTAGTCCAAGGGTCACTGTTTGTAAGGCCCACGCGTCCATGGTGGTATCCATCCACTGGTCGGCAAACATCTTTAACCTGCCACCAATAGGGATTTGAGTCCATGAGTCATTTGGAACGGCGGTAGGGGCGTCCCCCTGAACCTCTGTAAGGCCGCCTGGACTGTGGCTGTGGCTGCCTAGATCTATCTCGGAATCCTGACCTGTCCTGAGATCTGTCCACCCCGTGGGAATATTGCCTATGGAAATGGGAGGCGGGGAATCCCGCCTCAGTATTCCGAAAGGGCTGCCTACGGTAATAAGGAGTAGGTCTTCTATCATATCTCCTATTCAGCTGAGGCAGAACCTTCTGTTAATCTTTCCCTTCCACAAGGATGGGATCTAACACTTCTCCAAATAGCTGATTTCCCTTAAAGGGGGCTGCGGCCAGGCGCCACTTGGACCTGGTATCCGCCTGCCATTAGCGTAACTATAACAAGGGTCTGGATGCTACGTTAAACGCCAATGTAGGTAAATTTGGCAGCATTAATAGTTGCATTGGCTGTATATTCCGTTGCGGCTATCAGCTTACTGAGAACTTGTTGGAGGCAAACGTCCTCTGGGGAGATCCTGGCCTGCATCTGCTTTAACCATAAGAGGGATGTTCTGGAAAAGAATGAAGCTGCTGTAGCAGATCTAATTGCCCAAGCTGCAGCCTGGTGAGTTTTGCGTGCAGCCAAATCAGCCTTCCTATCCTCAGACTTCAACCCTTCCGCATTATCAGAAGGGAGAATGGCAGTAGAAGCCAAATTAGTCAAGGGAGAATCCACTGTGGGAATTTGGAGGAGCTCTTCAAGCTCCTTTTCCACTGTGTACATCTTTTTATCCATGCCACTAGGTGCTTGAATAGAGACAGGATGTTCCCATTGTCTTCAAATTACTTTTACAAAAAATTTTGGAGAAGGAATAATTTCCTGAGTAGAAACCTGTTCTGTAAAGAGACTGGCACAAAGATCCTGAGAGTCCTTAGGGTCTGCAGTAGACCTGTCCATCTGACTCATATTAGCAGTCATTTTAGCTTTAAGCAATAATGTCTTAAAGAGATGAGGGCGGAACAAGCCAGTGTATGCTGGTTTATCCTGTCCAAGTCCCTCATCACCAGACATTTCAAATTCACCTAATTCCTCCTCTCCTTCCAGCGAAGCCTCACTGTGAAGTGATGGAGAATCATGACACAATTCTTCCCTATAGTCCCTTTGCCTATGTGCATGCTGATGCACAGAATCTGGCTTTGAAGGCCCTGGATGTAAGGGAGCCAACAATCCCCTTTGTGCCAGCGCCTCATCAATGCCCTGGGTAATGGTTTGCACAATGGCATAACTGAGAATAGAACATTCAGCTTGAGGCTGAGATGGTGACGACCCCTCAGAATCACTGCTATTTGCTATGACTAACACAGAATGTTAGATTCAGTAAACAATTGCAAGACAAACTGAAACAATTTACTCAGTGCGCAGTTCAGGGCTCTTATTATGCCAAACCAGCAAAATGGTTTGTTTGCAAATAATATTAGGCAGCAGCAGCAATAATCTGGGCACCCCAGGAGTTAAAGGGGCGTAAGGCCTGCAATACTGCCTCCAAAGGCCACAAAACACTTTTTAAAACCGGCAATACGGTTTACTTGCGTGATAAAAAGATGCTCAGGCTTCCAAAATGATTCCAGATCTCTTCCAATTTTTACCCAGCTGCTTTAAACGTACATATTTTGCTGCATTGTATGCCCCAACAAAATGGCGGCTATTGGCCGTGCGGTCAGCGCGCTCTCTCCCTACGATCTGCAGCTCTCCAGCAGCAATAAGGGATGAAATCCGAAGCCTCGGACCTCCCTGAGTCTAACGATGACTGCCTGACGATCCTCGCTGCAATCCAATTCCACATGGCAATGGCCGGCGCTGCAGCGATCTTATCGCTGCCTCATAGAGTGCACAGCACTAACTCACACTTCATGCTCCTTCTTTCAGCCACCCAAGCTGATTTCAAAGAGGCTCTCTTTTTTCTTTTTGTATTTAGCCAATTTATTCTTTGAAAAATAGCCAATTTCCTTATTAATTTAAATTAAATTGAAGAGCCAACTCAAACAAGTCTTTCCTGTCAGACTGAGTTGGAAAAACTGAGGCTCAGCCGGAAGAGGAAGGCATGGCCAAAGAAATTCCAACTCAAGTCAGACTGAATTAACCCATGCTTGGATTCTCCAAGCAGCGCACAGGAGAAATTAGCATGATATTTCTATTACTCATTACTCAACTCAACTATCAAATTAACATGCTAGCGAGACAGCTATTCCTAATAATTAATTACACTGTCTTTTATGAACAACTTTTACATTTGCCCAAAGCAAATAAAAGGATTTTAAGGAACATATTGTACCTTTGTGATAGCAGTGAAGACTTTTTCAAGAATGGCATTAGGCTGAGCCTTCTGTGGTCCATTGGCTTGGACTTTTAAGCCTAAGGCACACGGCTTAGCTATAAACCTAAAATGGAGAGAGAAATAGGGAAGAAAAAGAAAAAAACTAATTAGGTACATATGACAAATATTTACAAATTAGGCCAATTCTATTTACTTCTTCAGCTGCACACAACTCAAAAGATGAAATTATATTGTCTGCAAATGATTATGTTTAACACCAGTACGTTTAACCTGTGCCTGTGGGTGTTTTGCTTCCCAGTACAGAGACTGCTATCAATATCTTCCCCTATGTAATTTTGGTGCCATGTAACTTTCAAGAGTTTATTGTCCTGCAACAGTCTCATGATTTGCTGGGGTAACACATTCCATAAGGCTTTTGCTAGCGTGCTGGTCTTCAACACTGATCTAGTGTCATATGAATAATAGGTTTAATTGTTTTTAAAAGCTGATCTTGGCCTTGTACCTGCTTTAAAAGTAACCTATTGAGAGGAACATTTTGCCAAATAGATGCCTGCAAATAGCAAATGTAGGAAGAGAGCTATGTTAGCTTATGGTTGCTAAAAATCAGAAAGACTTGGGTAGCATGTTTTCAGCCTAACACATTTTATTGAAAGACATAAGCTTTTCTGAGCTATAGCTCATTTCCTAAAATGCCCGCGGGCTGGGAGTTTGACAGCCATGGCATAGAGTGACTAATGTAGGATTTAAATTGGGGCTGGGTGGTGGAAGACAAGACAAGATAGTTATGCAGATACAAGATACATGTGACAACAAGTAAAACAAGTACTTTATCAATTAATATTACAATCAATTGTAAACAACCAGCAAAGCCCCTTTGGATTCTGTGTAGGACTGTACAAAATAAGAAATAGAAGTTTGGCATCAGAGCAAACAAATAAAGACAAATAATATGAGAGCATTTTAACTTCCTAGGGTGCACCACTACAGATCTCAAATGAGCTGTTTTTGAGCAAATAAATTCTATCAGCACAATTGAGCAAGAGACTGCTGAATTCTCAGAGCAAAAGATCACAAAATCTCTTAATAAGCACATCATCAATTGATCAAGCACTTGAAGTCTGTCTTCAAGTGATAGTTATATAGTTATATAGTTAAAAGTTATATATTAACGGAAGTTGGATTGGAAGAAGATGTGCGAAGGGAAGGAAGGGAAGGGAAGGGAAGGGAAGGGAAGGGAAGGGAAGGGAAGAGAAGAGAAGAGAAGAGAAGAGAAGAGAAGAGAAGAGAAGAGATCAATAACTTGTACTATGGTGATTATCCTGATAGCCGAAAATGCAAACGATCTTCAAGTCCTAGTATTAAAAATCAAAGAGCACAGTGAAAAAAATGGGACTAGAGTGAAATATAAAGACGAAAGACCAAACTAATAACAACAGGTAAAACAACCAGCCTTAGAATTGACAATGAAGGTACTGAAGTGGAAGACAGCTTCTGCCCTTTAGGATCAACCATCAAGAATAAAAGAATTCTTACAGTCAAGAAATACGCCACAGTGTGAGCATTTGATACAGCAGCCACAAAGGCCTTGGAAAAGATATTCAAATGCCATGGTATGTCAATACTACCAAGAACAGAATTGTGCAAGGCATGGTATTTAAGATGCAGGAATGGAAGGATATTGACGCCTCTGAACTTTGCTGTCGGGAAAGACTCCTAAGAATACCATGGATAGTCAAGAAAACAAAGAGTTATGGAGAAAATCTGGCTTTTTCTACAGCTCCTTTGGAACAACTAGACTCCATGATAAGGCATGGAAGTTTCATGGAGTTCATTCCAGACCAGCCAAGAGGACAATGACTTAGCCTTGTCAATAGAGGACAAAGAATTTCTGCAGCTCATGGAAAAGGAACTTCAGCAGGATGCTAGCGGAAGCTGGGTAGCCCCACTGTCCTTTCGCACGTGGAGCTTGAACAGGGTCTTGAATGCCCTCACCCGGAGTCCTTTTGAGCCCCTGAGGGAGGTTAGTCTACCCTTCCTGTCATATAAGGTGGTGTTCCTGATGGCTATCACCTCCACCAGGCAAATATCTGAGCTGGCAGCTCTGTCAATCAGGGAGGACCTGTGTGTCTTCCATGCTGACAGAGTGATTTTACGCCTGGACCTGACATTCCTGCCCAAGGTCAATATGTGGTTCCACAGGGCTCAAGAACCTGTCTTACCCAACTTTTGTCCTGAGCCAGTCCACTAGCAAGACTGCACTCTTTATTTCAAAGGCCATTTTGAAGAGGGCAGAATATTTAGATCAGCTTGAATTAACCATAAGGGTAATGACTTAACTATAAACATGTCCTATTGTTTTCTTTGCATCCATTTGTATGTTTGTGTTAGTTTCATATTTTGATATGGTCAAATGACTAAATCAATAAAGATTCTATTCTATTCTATTCTATTCTATTCTATTCTATTCTATTCTATTCTACTCTACTCTACTCTACTCTACTCTACTCTACTCTACTCATGATAATTATAAGATGTAACAGAAACTCAGCTTTTGTTATCCCAGGGTTAATTCCTAAAGAGGGGAATTGTTTCATTTCTTTGATGAGGAAAAAAGGAGACAATCAAAAGGATCGGATTACAGAGACGAAGGCAAAAAAGAAAGAGGCTATATTTGTTAAGTGGAAAGGGAATTAAAAAAGAAATTAAAAAAGAAGAAAATCAAAGGAGCTTGCCTGATGCACCAAATGAAAAGTACTTCAAACTTAGTAGAGAATCAGTGTCCCTATATCCCCTGAGAAAAGGAGTCCTTGCCTTACAACCATTTGTTTAGTCACCAAATTACAACAGCACTAAAAAGTGATTTATAGCCAGTAACTTAACACTTCCAACTGTGGCAGCATCCCCAGAGTGACGATCAAAATGTGGATGTTTAGCAACCAGCATTTATTTACGACAATTGCAGTGCCCCAGGGTCATGTGATCACTATTTGCAACCTTCCCAGCTGGTTTCCAAGTAGCAAAGTCAATGGGGGAAACCAGATTCACTTCACAACTGAATGATTCACTTAACAACTTAACAAGCATGGCCAACAAAGTTGTAAAAGTGAGCATCCCTCAATAAAAAACCACCTTACTTAGCAATGGAAATTTGAGTCCCAATTGTAGTGATAAATCAAGGACTATCTTTCCGCAGGCAAACAAAAAGTTATCTGGATATTCCTCAGCTGTTTTTCAAACTTAATCTAATTTCCAAGGACTAAAGCGCAGAAGGTGCAAGGTGGGTTGTGTAACATATGATTTTCATCAGGGTGGATAAAAATCGATGCTTTTTAAAATAAAAATTAAAAAATTGGATTTTTTAAAATTTTAATGGGATTTTTTAAATTATTTTTATCACATTTATTTCAATAAAATAGTTTTGGAGTAAAAATCTATCTAGTTTTCTATTTAACATACATTAATAATTTAGTTTATTCAGCATGAAATAGAGCTTCGTTATGTAGCATGAGGCTGTATATTCTGCTATATTTACATTTTTCGTGAACTCATTCAATGAATCCAAGCTCTGCAAGCTGAGATAACATGCACTGCATTGATGCATTCATACAATTTTACAGTAACCATGAGATAAATCATAAAACAAAGTTCAGGAATATTCCTTTATCCCATTGTTTTGCAAATCTATGTACACTACAAACTGTATGTTTGTTTGAAGAGAAATGCATCTGTACCACCAGGCTCTAAGTATGAGAAGGAAGGTCGAGCAGTAAAAATGAGAATAAAATCTTCTAAGCAGTTTATAAATATAATATTAAAGAGCACCTGTCATTTCAGATCCATCATGGCAGCGCCTGTTAGCGGGCATTCACTCACCTGCCGCCTGCCACGTCCCTCATCTTGTTGTGTCAGTGCCGCATCACCAGCCATCCCATTAAAGTGAATGGGACTGTCAGTGAGTCAATAGTGGCTCAGAGGAGGAGCCGCTGCGGGACAGAGATGACAGTTGCTCTTTAAAAATTATGATTTAAATCGAGTTGATTTAAATCAAGCCTTTTTACTAGTGATTTAAATCAAGATTTAAATCGACTTGATTTAAATCAAATCTACCCTGATTTTCAGGAAAGAAAATAAATGTGTAATGCATAGCAATTGATGCAAATCCAAAGTCTGAAACCTGTGGAACTCCAGGTCTTCTAACACTCACTGTTCCCATGAATTACAGCCATTAGTGAAGGAAAAATGGGGCTATAATCTAGCAAAAGAGGATCATAGATTCTCCACCTTGGTGGTAAATTTATTTGTTGTTCACTTATTAAATTTATATACCATTTAATAAATAATTTCTGGCAATTCTGGCCATTTGGCAGGCAGTGATGGCCATCAGGAGCCTGTTAATTATAGAAAGAAACAAGACAAGACTATAATTGTGCATGCTAAAAATCTGCCTGAATTATATAATTTGAAAACTATGAAAACTATGATTTCATGAAGTTCAAACAGTAGTGAAACAGAGACCATAGCACAGGAAGATTTTTTTCTCACATGCCTTTTGATATTTTGTAAAAAAACACATTGTTCTTCCTGACTATTTTCACAGATGATGATTTATTCCCATTGCCTACATTCTGTTCTCTCTTTCTCTCTAAAGGGCAGATTTCTGTCAGAGTTTTGTAAGTGATATTCCAAACAAATCAGATTTCTTTTAAAAAAATGTGTTATTTGGAATAAAAAGATAATCCATCTGCTGACCCATGGTAAGTTATCTCTCCTCCACCCCCGGCTCTACAATTTAAATAAAAAAGTTAAACAAGAAACCTCACACAACAGAAGAAAATCATAATACAATGCATCCTTATACAGCATGAAATTGTTGGTCAAATTAAGTATTTGAATTATTTGCAATAAGTTTTTATATTGATCTGAATGAGATGAGACAGGGTCTTAAAAGATTAGCTGGAGGGGAGAGGAAAAAGGCAAATGGATCAAATTCAGATTTCAGTAAAACTGTCTGTATGTCCTTAGGCCCAAACTGACAGCTGCTGTTAAAATCTAAAAAAAAAAAGGTCAATATTTTCAGGAATATTGGTAGTCCCCACCTTAAAA